ACACACACACACACACACACACACACACACACACACACACACACACACACACACACCAAAATCTTCAAGCAAGATAAATATGGAAGTAGTATGAGGTGAGGGTTTGATTTAAAATACTCCACTTTCCACTTTCAGGGGGAAAATGGAAAGAAGTATGTAAAGTGATCAAATTGGACATTTGGCAACTCGTTAACGTGCAGGTTTATCATGCTATTTCTTGTCTCTTTTCGACTTGGAGATTTCCTAATAAAAGGGTTTTTCTTCCCAGTTGTATGTTCTCAGCACTCTTTATTTTAACCCGAAGGAAAGCAAGCATCAACAAGGACTGGCATCTGACAAATGGCAGAATGCTAACAGTGGTCCCGGCTGGTGTCCCCACGGTTTACGGGTGTACTGCGCAGTGCGTCTGCTCTCTTACCTTCTCCTTGGTTCGAAGCTCGCTGAACATTTGCTGAATCTCCAGTTTCCAGTCTTCCTGCATGGAATGGAAAGACTCCTGGGGCATCTCGGTCGCTACCGCCCCTTCAATGGCAGTCAGCTGTTGAAGAATTAAGGCAAACGAAGGGCGGATATGAGGGTCTTGTTCCCAGCATTCTGCGACAAATGAGAATCACATTACTTTCCCCTCTCAGTACGGCTAGGATGATCTCCAAGATGGCAGGCTTCCCAGTTTGACACTTGTCACTCTAAACCAGAAGCCCCTGTCTACAGTGTTGACTCCTGGAAATCTTAAGGGCATATCAGTGAGTGCCAGAGTGTCCCCGGTCCCAGGCACCCATGTCAGAGGTGAGCAGACACAGTGAGACCAGCCTGCTTTTGCCTGTGTTAGCAGACACTTGATTCACAGATGCATGGTTTCAATGCTGAGGCCTAGCTGCTGTCGCAGAATTACATATCAATAAAATACAAGTCCCCAAGCCAACGTCTGAAGGATGTTATAATTACCACAGAAGTTCTAAGAAATAGATTAATGCTGGACACCGTGACACATGCCAGTAATTCCAACACTAGAGAGGTCGAGGCAGGATCCAGGTCCAGCCTGGATAACACGGTGGTGAATTTGCAGCCAGCCTGGGCTACAGAGTGAGTTTGAGGACAGCCTGAAATACATAATAAAGTTTCATCTAGGATGGGATACAGAGTGAGGTCAAAGCTAACCTGGTACACATAGCAAAACCCTATTTAAAAAAAAATCAAAAATCAAAACTGATGAAGCGATTCACAGATCACAGAGACAGGCAGCAAGCTTAATAACGAGGGTGGAATCACTGCTGAGACTGGAAAGATGCTCATGATCACTAGCTGGGACTTCAAAGGGAGGCTTGGAGCCAGCTCGGGGCTGTGCTGTCTGCTGGCGGACAGTGGGACAGTGGCAGGGAAGGCAAGGCACTGGGGGCTTTAAGTTGCACATCTGGACATGCCAGTGACTCACCTCTGTAGCAGAGGCGAACTTTTCAGAAAAGCTCACTTAAAAGCAATTGGATTTTGCTGTGGATATTGCTCTATATAAATAAGACACTGATGGCCAGTGACCAGGCAGGAAGTAGGTTGCCAGGCAGGAAGTAGGTGGGACAAGGAGAGAGGAGAATTCTGGGAAGCAGAAGGCTGAGGGAGACACTGCAGCCACCACCAGGACAAGCAGCATGTAAAGAGCTGGTAAGCCACCAGCCACGTGGCAAGGTATAGATTTATAAAAATGGGTTAATTTAAGATAAAAAAAACAGTTAGCAAGAAGCCTGCCACGGCCATACAGTTTATAAGTGATATAAGCGTCTGAGTGATTATTTTATAAGTGGATTGTGGGACTGCAGGGCTTGGTGGAAGCTGGAGAGAAGCCCTCCAGCAACAAATGGCGCCCAACAGTTCGAGTTTCCACCTTAAACCTGAGAATATTTAATAACCAATTCTAAACAGAGCCAAAACCAGGTTCCTGCTTCTTGTCTCATATGGGCAGCTAGACGCCGCAAAACGCGGGTTTGAACACTGGCAG